ATGGTCAATGGAAGTGACACCATTGCCAATCACCAAGGCCTCAGGGGAATACAGTAGGCATTTCTTATTTTACCTTCTTTCTCTCTATTTGGTTTCTTTTTCTTTTTTAAAATGTTCTTCTTGCTTTGTACTGGAGTATAGTTGATTTACAATGTTGTCTTTTAAGTTTAAAGCAGATAAATTCAGTTACACATGTATCTGTTCTTTTTGGATTCTTTTTCATATAGGTTATTGTCGAGTGTGGTGTAGAATTCTCTGTGCTGTTCATTAGATCCTGTTTGATTATCTGTTTCAAACGTGTATATATATGTGTACTTGTTAATGCACACTTGGTTGTTAAGTCGTGTTAGTCATGTCCAACTCTTTGAGCAACACTATGGACCGTAACCTGCCAGGCTCCTCTGTCCATGGGGATTCTCTGGGCCAGAATACTGGAGGGAGTTGCCATACCCTCCTCCAGGGAATCTTGTTAACCAAGGATCGAACTTGCATCTCCTGCATCGCAGGCAGATTCTTTACCCACTGAACCACCTGGGAAGCCCACTTATTAATGGGACCCTCCTAATTTATTCCTCCACCCACTTCTTTCCACTGTGGTGACCATAAGTTTATTTTCTACGTCTGGGAGTCTGTTTTGCTTTGTTAAAAGAGTTCAGTTAGTATCAGTATTTCCATTCCAGCTGTAAGTGATCAAATATACTTGCCTTTCTCTGTCTGACTTACCTCACTTGGTAGGATGATGTCTAGGTCCATGCTTGTTGCTGCAAGTGGCGTTGTTTCGTTCTTTCTATGACTGGGTAATATTGCCTGATGTATATCTACCCCCTCTGCCTTATGCATGCATCTGTTGATGGACCTTTTTCTCACTTCCGTGTCCTCGCTGGTGATAATAGTACTGCAATGAACACTGGGATGCAAGTCTCTTTCGGAATGAGGGTTTTATCTGGATATTGACTTAGGAGTGGGATTGCCAGGTCCTATGGTGGCTCCATCCCTTGTTTTTTATAGAACCTTCATAGTTCCTGTCAGCAATTTACTTTCCCACCTACATCAGAGGAGGAACTGTTTCCTTGTCTCCAGTTCACCTGGCATTGACTGTTTGTAGCCTCTGTGCCGATGGCGGTTCTGAGTGGTGCTAGGTGATACCTTGTTGCTGTTTAGATTTGCATGTATTTAATAAGGAGGGAAAATTTGGAAAATGCCAGAAAATCTGGAAAACTCAGCAATGGCCATGGGACTGGAAAAGGTCAGTTTTCATTCCAATCCCAAAGAAAGGCAATGCCAAAGAATGTTCAAACTACCACAGAACTGCACTTATCTCACACACTAGCAAAGTAATGCTCAAAATTCTCCAAGCCAGGTTTCAACAATATAGGAACCGTGAACTTCCAGATGTTCAAGATGATTTTAGAAAAGGCAGAGGAACCAGAGATCAAATTGCCAACATCCATTGGATCATCAAAAAAGCAAGAGAGTTCCAGAAAAACATCTACTTCTGTTTCACTGACTACGCCAAAGCCTTTGACTGTGTGGATCACAACAAACTGNTCTAGTCAAAGCTATGGTTTTTCCAGTGGTCATGTATGGATGTGAGAGTTGGATTATAAAGAAAGCTGAGCACCAAAGAATTGATGCTTTTGAACTGTGGTGTTGGAGAAGACTCTTGAGAGTCCCTTGGACTGCAAGATCCAACCAGTCCATCCTGAAGGAAATCAGTCCTTAATATTCATTGGAGGGACTGATGGTGAAGCTGAAACCCCAATCCTTTGGCCACCTGAGGACTCATTGGAAAAGACCCTGATGCTGGGAAAGATTGAAGGCAGGAGGAGAAGGGGAGAACAGAGGATGAGATGGTTGGATGGCATCACCGACTCAATGGACATGAGTTTGAGCAGGCTCCAGGAGATGGTGAAGGACAGACAGGGAAGCCTGGTGTGCTGCAGTCCACGGGGTCACAAAGAGTCGGACACAATGGAACAACACCAACGGCAACCCAGAGGGTCAGCATCCTTAGCTGCATGAGGCTCCCTCACCTGCTGAGCTCCCATCCCAGGTCTGGAGATCGTGGTTTTGTACAGAGGGGACCAGGCACCAGAGGTCCGAGGAGGTGCTGGTTGCTGGCACATTCTCTGCGGCTCCTGCTGCCCAGGATTCTCCCCTGGGAAATACAGGATTCTCAGGGTTAATGGAGGTGACACCATGCAGCTCACTAAGGCCTCAGGGGGGTATGTTAGGCATTTATTTATTTGTCCTATTTAGTTTTTTTCCTTTTTAAATTTTCTCCTTGCTTTATATTGGATTATAGTTGATTTACAATGTTGTGTTTGTGTTAGCTTTAAAACAGACTGATTCAGTTATTCATGTATCTGTTCTTTTTTGGATTTTTTTTCCCATATAGGTTATTGTCAAGTGTTGCATATAATTTTCTGTGCTGTTCTTTAGACCCTATTTGATTATCTGTTTCAAACTTGTATGTATATATATATATAAATTTTTTTTTATGTTAACCTCCTAATTTTTTCTTCTCCCCCATCTTTGCACTGTGGTTACAAGTTTGTTTTCTAAGTCTGGGAGTCTGTTTCTGGTTTGTAAAATTGTTCAATTTGTAGCAGTTTTTCAATTCTACCTGTAAGTGATCAAATATACTTGCCTCTCTCTGTCTGACTTACTTCACTTGGTATGATGATGTCTAGGTCCATGCTTCTTGCTGCAAATGGCATTGTTTAATTCTTTTTATGACTGAGGAATATGCATTATGTATACCTACCACGTCTTCTTTATGCACTCATCTGTCGATGGGCCTTTTTCTCACTTCTGTGTCCTTGCTGGTGATAATAGTACTGCAGTGAACATTGGGGTGCAAGTGTCTTTTAGAAATCAGGTTTTATCCAGATGTAGGTTCAGGGTAGGATTGCCAGATCCCATGCACAGAGATTCGTGGCAGGCTACAGTCCATGGGGTTGCGGAGTCAGACATGACTAAGCGACCAACACACACATGGTGGCTCCATTCCCCGTTTTCTTTGGAAACTTCATGGTTCCTCTCAGCAATTTACTTTCCCACCCACAGCCAAGGAGGTAGGGTTCCCTTTTCTCCAGTCCCTTCTGGCATCGACTGCTTATAGACCCTTTGCTGATGGCCATTCTGAGTGATGCGAGGTGATACCTTGTTGCGGTTTAGATTTGCACGTATTTAATAACAAGGGATGTGGAGCTTGTTTTCTTGTGGTTTTTATTTTTATTTTTTAAACGAGTGTGACTGAAGTTTCTCTCTTAAAATTTGATTCTGGAACGTTTACCCTGTATTTAATTTTTCTTTGATCCCTTACCCCAGGACATTTTTTGAAGACCTGTGTCTTTTTTTCTGCAGAGACTTGGGTTTGATCCCTGTGTTGGGACGATCCCCTGGAGAAGGAAATGGCAACCCACTCCAGTATTCTTGACTGGAGAATCCCATGGGTGGAGAAACCTAGCAGGCTACAGTCCATGGGGTCGCAAAGAGTCCAATAGACTTCGCTTTAACTTTGTGTCTTTTTTCAGCGCTGCAGCCTGTGTGAATTAAGTGCCCTTAGGCGGCTCTTGTAAAGTTGTCGTTACCAGGAATGTCCACACGGCGGCAGCACTTCCCCATGCCCACCCCTCTGATAACAGCCAAGCAGAGCCCTAGAGTCCTGTGTCTGGGTTGGAAGTGAGAGTGGTATGTCCCTTAAGAGCACCCAAAGGCTTGTGTTCCAGTATTTTAAACCTTAATTTTCACCCCCAGGGAAACTCCAGACCCTCCCCAGCCGCTGTCATGGGAGTGCAGTACTCTGTTCGGGGTCCATCTCTAAGGAAGGAGGCTGGAGGTGGGAACCCCAGCACCTGGAGGTGTGGACTTTTGAAACCTCTTTACCCAGAAGGCCAGCATCCTTTAGCTGCACTAGACTCCTTGACCTGCAGAAACTCTCTTACCCTGTCTCGGGATGTTGGTTTTCTCGAGGGGACCAGGCCCTGGAGCATTCTCTGCAGCTCCCTCCGCCAGGCCCCACTGTCCATGGGATTCTCCAGGCAAGAATACTGGAGCGGGTTGCCATGCGCTCCTCCAGGCGATCTTTCCGACCCAGGCATCAAACCCGCGCATCTCGTCTCCTGTACTGACAGGTGTATTCTTTACCACTAGCACCATCTAGGAAGTATAAGTGCCCTTGGGTTGTGCTTAATATTAGCACTCATTCCAATGCCCTCTCACCCCTTTTCACCCGTCAGTACCTAGCTACCCCTTATGAAAGTAAGCATGTAACAGTAAATTTTAAGTGTAATCAAATTGGTGAACAGTTATTCATAATCGGTGGAAGCATAAGCAAGACTTTACAGATTTTTTGAATTTATCAAGTAGGTTTTACTTTTTTAATCTCTTAATCTCTTTCAGGGGTTCAAAGATTATTGTGTTTCAGTAATTATTTTACTCATAGGGCATATTTGCCTCTTATTCCACATACAATAACTGACTTAACATAAACCAGTGTCATGGCTTGTTAAAATGATCTATGTACTTATTAAGTTACTTTCCTGGTGGTCTAGTCATTAGGGCTCTGGGCTTTCACTGCAGGGTTGTGGGTTTAATCCCTGATAGGGAATGAAGGTCCCATAGAACCTGTGGCACAGAAAACAAAAAAATTATCTACAAAGATTACAACTTTAAGGATGGGGTCAAATTATCTTCAATCTGCCAGAGTTGGGGGAGGGGAAGGGATAAAGGACATGATGCAAGATGAGGCAGGAAGGAAAAGGGTGTGTGTGGGTCCAGATCATGCAGGTGGACCATGCTAAGGACCTTGGATGTTATTCTGTGACAGTAAACCACTGAGCATGCTGAGCAGATGACTGGCATGCTCTGATTTACATTTTAAAATACGATTAGTTAGTTGCTGTGTGATCCATTATGAGAGAAGTATGAAGCAGGGCATATACCGGAGAGAATCGTGGGAAACACGGGCGCACAAATTCAGTGAAAGACACTAAAATGTTCATAAGAACTTTATTCATTAACAACTACAAACTGGAAACAACCTAAATTTCCACCAACAGTAGAATGGATTCATAAATTGTGATATAAGCCATATGACAGAACACTACACAGAAGCATTAATAAATGAATCACAACATGGATAACTCACAGATACAATGCTGAACAAGAGTACACAGAATAATCATATTTACATGAAGCTTTAAAACAAATACAATCTCTGGTGATAATGGTCAGAATAGTGGTTATCTGTGGCAGGCTGGCGGTGTGCACAGGGCAGCGACCAGGGTGCTGAAGTGTTCAGGGTCTTGATTTGGTTGATGGGTTCTAGGGTGTACATAGAAATCCACAAGGTGTGCACAGAGCCTTTGCATTTTACTGAACATAAATTTCACCGCAATTAAAAAGAAAAAATACTTTCAAAGAAATTTTGTAGAGAGAGAGAGAAATATAACTATGTGTTAGTTGGTAGTATCATCTTCCAAGTATTTCTGGTTCTCTTCCAAGGCACGAGGAAGGATCACACTCCTTGGACTTGGTGTGGCCGTGGGATCTCTTCTGGCCAGTGAGAGTGCTTAAACGGCCTGTAAGTGACTTGTCCTACTTTTTTATTTCCCTACATGAGCAGCCACACCCTAGGTGATATCCGCTTGGTCAGCTCAAGCCCCAGAATGAGGACCACTTAGAGCCTGGGTCAGTGAACACTCTCTCTGAAGGGTCACATAGTGAATACTTTACATTTTGTGGGTTGGACACTTTCTTCTGTAACCCCACCACTCTGCCAGGGTAACAGAAAAGCAGTCATATATAAGGCAGAAACAAATGGGCAAGGCTGTCTCCCAATAAAACTTTATTTAGAGAAACAGGCAGTAGGACACACCTTGCCCATGGCCTTCAACCCCTGACTTAGAGCACAGGCCCTCGCCAGACTACCAGAGAAAAGCTGGGATTTTGTGGTTGTTACTGCATGGCAACCTAGCTCATTGATACAGAAATAGTTTCTGTTTTCAAAAATCTAGACTACTGAACACTGACTTAGTTGGCAGACATTCTGGAAGTTGCTGTTGGAGAACAGAAGTCATTTCTGCAGGGTAATGGAAGAATTCCCTGGAGAGAATCTGGAAGGCAGAGAATCTCTCTTTAAGACAAGGAAATAAAATATTTTATGGTAGCTGTTGGTCCCATTTGACAAAACAGACAGGAAAGGGATGAACTCAGAAAAGAGTTCATCAGTTTGCAAGCAGAAATACAAGGGAATAAAGAGAGTTCACAAACTCAAGTGCTTATTGGGTAGGAAGAGAGAGATAAAAATGAGAAATCCTTTATGCCAAAGGTGGAGTAAAAGCCAGTTTCGCAGCAAGGATCAGATCACTGGATGACAATCACACTTACTGTTAAAATCTCTGAATTAGTTAATGGGCCTCAGGCTAAAAGTCCAGTTAAGAGTGTAACACCAGTTAATCCCTTAAATTGGAAAAAATGGCTCAGCAAGAGATGAAAAAAATGAAAAAATGTAAGAGATGATGGGTGTGGTTCTTTCACAACACCTGGAAGCCCAGGTGACCCAGAAAATAAGTTCAGAGAGGCATGAGACCAAGAAAGCAAAGAAACAGAGCAAATCTAAGAAGCATACATTGAGCACATAGCACTTCCGGGTTACCTTCCTTGGGGAGGTGATGAGTGATGACATTCTGCAAGTAGGAAAGCATGTGAACCGAGTATCTAGTGATCAGAAGGGCTGACTGGGTCCTTCTTCCAGTATTTTGTGAAATTTACTTACTTTAAAATCCCAGAAGAGCCAGAAACCATCTGTAAAGGAAAAGAGCAGGTGGTTTTCTCCCAGAGTTGATGCTTACAGAAGGAAAATAGGGATTAACTCTTAAGCAGGTATTATCTTTTTCTGGTACCGAATGCAACTGAAGTATTGATTTAGTCCACTACATGGTTGTCCGATCTTTCTCATCCAGGTTCCTTTGTAAGCCTGCCTTTAGAAATTAGAAAGAAAGAAAAAATGAAGACTTCTATTATCAAGGAGGTAAAGACAGTACTACACGGTGGATTCTATGAGAACACTTCATTTTATACTCCATGTTTACAAGGGCCAATTAGTGTTTCCTCAACAACAGTCACATGGTAAATATTTGAGCCACATGCCAAGCACTGAACTCAGTTTTCGGAATACAATTCCCTACTCACAAAGAACTTAGTTTCATTTCTTACTTGGCAATTGGTGGATAAGTTACCCAGCAAGCAGGTCATGGCAGAACTAGAGAAGATCAAAGACTATGAAAGGGCTGGGAAGAGTAGAACAACAAATATTTACTCATCCAAATATTTACTGAAAAGCTAGGCACTGAGCTAAGCATTAGATGTAGCAGTGAGCAGACATATACATGGTCTCCAGGCTTGCAAAGCTCACAGCGTAGCACGGATCAACAGGAAGGATCGATGCAGTGTGCTAAGTATATGGCTGGCGAGAAACAGGGTATTTAGGGAGGCATCGTGGGGGCACTTAGCCTAGAGGGAATGGATGAAGGCTTCCTGGAGGAAGTGGCACATAAACCGCAACTTTTCCTAAGAGCAGTGGGTGAAGCAAGGAGTGATGGGACCTGGCTTCTGGAGTAATCTGGTTGCAGCGTGACAAAGGATCACAACCAGACAAAGGGAGACGGAGGGGGCCACTGCTTCCTGAATCAGAGTACACTGGAGAACTGAGGAATGGTAGGCAGCAGGCTTCACAGAAAGGTGTGTGTGAGTGGATGTGATGGATGAAGAGGGAAAGGTCACGGAGACCTGAGTTTGGGGCTCAGGCTGTGCCAACTGAATGGCTGGCAGTGGTGGTGCTATTTACAGAGAAAGGGACCAGGAGAGGAGCAGGTTTGGGGGACAAGAGCAAGGACATGTGTGGTGCCTATGCAAAACGGACTTAACTTAGCAATTAGACATGGGAATCAGGGAAGGTCAAGAAAGGAGACAGAAAGTTGGAGTCATTTGCAAACAGTTGCTAACTGAAGGGATGAAAGAAAAAAAAAAAAAGGTCAGTTAAGGAGATGATGTAAACGAGATAGCTTAAAACCAAATTTAAAAAATCCCAAGGACACAGATGTTTAAGGGAAAGAGGTGCCTGCAAAGAAGATGGAGAACGCGTACTTGGAGATGGCCTCTCCCCAAAGCCAAACTAAGCAAGCATTTCAAGGAGGGCAGTCAGGGGTGGGAAGAGGGTAGGCCTATTGACAAGGACTTGGGAAACTTGGAAGAGCAATCGGAGCACAATATGGGAGGGAGGAATACAGACAAATCTTTGAAGAAAACTAGTAGGAATGGGAGATACTGGGACAAGAGTTTTTTTTTAAAAAATAGTACTTACTTTAACTATATTCACTGATATGACAGGACCAGAAACAGCTATTTTATAAAAAGTAACTTGTAAAGACTGCCATGCAGTTACAGAATTACTTAGTACAGAAAACAGCAAAATACACACTTCTTTTTACAAACAAGGCTAATTTACATAGCAAATTCTCTACTGTTCAGGGTTAATGTAAAATTCTGGGCTTATACCTGCCCCCCAGTCAGTGACTACAGAACTAATTTTATGATCACCCTAAGCAAAACATATAATGGAACTTCACAAAATATACAAAACTTCAGTATTTGAGGAACTGGAGTTAGAAAGCAGAAGCTTACAGGTCTTCCAATTATCCTTTCAATTAAGGCACCTGCCATGAAAGTGAATACTCCAAACTACTGGAAAATTACCGGCAGATGTTTTTGTTCTTTTTTGGTTTTTTAATCTGCTGTTTCTCCAGATGTTTAAGCTTACTCCCTGTTAACCCAAATCTTAACTTGACCATTCTCGCTAAGTATCTTAGTAATATAGAACACTTTCTTTTCTGCCCTAAACTAATTGTAATAAAACATGTGTAATTAAGTGTAATAGAACAGAGCCTTTTAATCTGGCTCAGTGCCAACTACTGATTTATAAACGCTGCTGCGAGCTACCAGAATCTATCAGGGTCTTGGCTGTATCTTACCAGCCAAATCTGGAATGCTGGAATTAGTTTCCATCATCAAATGTTATCAATTAGCCTAACTTGCCCTTCTAATTCTGCTTCTACCGGTAATTTGCCTTCTCCCTCAAAATCAGATGATGTACTCGGGGGGAGGGGGGTCTGCTGGAACTTTGGCAGGAATTTTGACTGTGCTGTGCTATCCTATGCACCACAAGGGGAGGGTGTCATTCATGCTTACAGGCCAGCAGAACTTCCTCCTAATGAATGTCACAATTAAAAAGTCTCCTTCATTTCCCTACATTCTAAAGGAGGAGATACTGTCTGATTGAGAACCACTGGCAAGATTTTGGTTCTATTTTGATTGCTCAGGCTTCAGTTCTTTCTAAATTCTTGTTTATTCTGGTTCCTTGAATTTGCTAAATTAGTGACCATAGAGAAATGCATTCTAAGAGTTAAGACAGGACTTGAGCACAAGTTTTCAAATTGTACTTGAGCGGATCTCTAAGTTGGGTCCTGTCCTTAAATCATTTCACATATTTGGCTTTACTGTAAGATTTTTTAATGGTTAACATAAATTTGAAAATTACTGTTTTAGTCCAAAGCAGGTGTCTCACTAAAAAATATGGAACTGCTACAATCAGTAAATAAAGCTGCTTCTGGAGAGTTAAAATATTTCCCCTTGTGCAGTCTTAAATACACAATGTGTGGGACAATGACAAGTTGATAATAAATTCATTTAAAGTCACAAACAACATTTGATACATCACGTTAAAATAAAGGATTGCCTTTTAGCAGGATTTCTTTATAAAGCCGTAGCACCCAGGCTGATGGGACAAATAAGCTAAAATAGCTCACACCTCTTGATCCTGCGATGCAAACATTTTCTCTTTCTCATCCTTTTTGACAGGGCCAAACTGTCTAGAATACAACAAAGAAGGACTAGTGGGCAGCCCCTAAGAGTCTATACTTACCATAGTCTTCTAACAGGCAAGCTCATAAAAACGGCGCCCAACTGTGAAGCATTCAGGGGAAACTGCCAAAGATTGGTTAGTCTGATCTCCAAACTGTAAAAGCCTCTTAAACTAGCAATTGAAAACAATTCTTGCTCCTCTGACTAAAACTTTACTCAAATTGAGTAAAATTTCCTAATATCATTATCGCTACCATGGGGCAGGGGAAGGTGAGAGAGAGAAAATATGTCTAAAGTAAGTAAATATATTTAGACTCAGAAACATGTCTAAAAAAAAAAAGTCAAAAACATTTTGATAATTAGACAAAACACCTCCACTGTATGTATGTTCCTCCTTTGAATAAGCTTCTGCAGTTGCTCAGTGAGTTTCTGCAAACTGGCTCAAACATATACTTAAGGAGTTGATACTTTCAGACTATACGCATCAGAATTTTAACACCTTTTTGGTTAAAATAAGAGCAAAAATTTCTTCGAAACACCTTAAAAACAGACTTCTGATTCAACTCACATTATTAGTGCTAAACTTCTTTAAAAACAATTATATCAATAAAAGCAAAAGATAATGACTTTGCCACGAAATTCAGTTTTAGAAAAAAAAAAAGGCGTCTGCAGGTGTCAGTCCCATGCTGCTTCTTGAGATGGAAAAAAAAAAAAATCTGTCTAAAGAGTATCAATTGTGATCAATTTTGATGGAAGAAGATGGTGCCTTCCCACAATCCAAATTAGCAAACTTAAAAATCAAACAGATGTTTGCTTTTAGCATTGGATTCTTGTTGAGTGTTTCAATGTTGTACTAAGAGTTTATGGATTGGATTCATTTCTTCCTCTCACAAGATCATCCCAGCGTGGCTCTATTTCAGTGGTGGCAATCCGGAACAGGGCGTGGAGGTGTTCGTCTGTCAAAGGCTGGCTCAAAGTGTGTTGGTTTCGAGTCAAATATGAAAAAGCCTTTTCACAGATTTTGCTGCTATCAAACAAGGATGCCACCTTACAGGCAACCCCTATGATAATCGGGTAAGATTCTGCAGGCAATCCAGCATAGAACTGCCCTAAATCTTTGGTTCTGTATTCCTCCCAAAGGTTAGCATTTGCCTGAAGTTTTGTAAGTTCCACCCTTACTGAAATAGGTGCATATTCAGGTTTAAAGCTAAATGGATTAGCAAAAAGCTCTAAGTCCTTTTTAATGAACTTGAGGTCCTTGAAATGTCGTTCAAACTCTTTCTGTAGGCGACAGATCACCCCTCGATACCTCTCAAGATCGAGTACTTTTTCGTCTTCTTGAAGATTCTCTTTAAGCTCATCAACCACTTGGCTCAAGGCAACAAAGTTTGTCAGATTTTTTTCCTCGACTTGTCTCTGAAGTAAATTCAGCTTCACTTCAAAGGCACAGATATGGTCAAAGGCGGCGGCAGCAAAGACTCTGTTCACTCTCAATAGTTCGCTAATTTCTCCAAGGTGGTCCATAATATCCACCAGGAAGCCGAAGTCACAGAGCCATTCCTTGTCTGTGAAATGGACCGTCGTGGCTCCTATCGAGACCAAGAATGTTTCTATCTCTTTTCTTAAGGAAAATATTAGTTTCAAAGTCTTCCCTTTCCTAAGCCAGTTGTTCAGACAGCGTCCGTTGACCCTTTCACCGTGCTCTGATTCAGATTCAGTCAGTAAAGCCTGAAATTCCGGCCGCCTCACGCCTCTGGTCTTAATCAAAACTATCCATTCAGATACGGCATTTATGATCTGATTAACATCCACATCGTAGGAGCTCAACAGTTCCAAGTGAAGAAATCCCGAATAGTGGATCACATTCCAACAGTTGGGGCTTACAGCCTTTTCTCTCATGTATGACACCAGTCCTGAGTTCTCACCAATCATCCTCAGAGTGTGGGTCGTGGTCAGTCCAACCATGCGCTGCAGGCTAAGCCCGGCCGTCTGCAGGGCCTCAAGGATTGCCGCCATGAGGGCGCCAACACTGAAGTGATGAGTCAGGTTGATGATGGTCAGAAGCTCTTCGTGTACCTCCAAATCGTGGCCGACGCCGCGGACAAAGACCAGCAGGTAGTTCTCATAGGCCACAAAAGCCTGGTCGTCCAAGGCAAGGGAATAGGCTTTAAAGTCCTTGGCTCGGTTAAAAAGTTGAGTGCGTAGATTCTGGTGAATGTCCAGGACTCTCTGCCGCGTGGTCTCTGGAGATAAATCGATGCCATCCATAATGCCTACGTGATCGGGCAGCACGTCTCTCAGCATCACCGCCATGCACCGGTGCACAAAGTCCCCCTCGCCCCAGCCGCAACCCTTCAAGGCCAAGAGGCGGGCGAGTCCCAGGCCTGCACGGGCTATTCTCTGCTCCGGAGTGAGCGGGGCGGCCTCCGGCAAGTCGCCCCGCCGCAGACTCTCCACCAGCGCCGCGCGCTCGTCCTCCGCTACATACCGCTCGTAGTACTGGTGCTCGGCCTCGTAGTGCTGCTTGACGTCGGATTCGCCGGTAGCTGCGACCAGGCGGCGACAGACCAGGCACAGGGCGCCCTCGCCCTCCGGAGGCTCCACCACCAAGTACCGCTGGGTCCACTCGGCCCGGAACGCCCGAGACTCGTCGATTTCCATTTTGCTCCTCTTGGGCGTCATCCACATTTCACGGAGGCCACAGGAGATGGGCCGACCTCTGGGAGGCCGCAAGCAAAGGGGAGGGAGGAGCAGAAGATGGGCCCCAAGCGCCTCCTCCGCTCTGCGCCAGATCACCCCAGCTGCGGACACCAACCTGGGGCACCCACGCGTCCGTTCCTATTGGCTGGAGATTTCGTATTCCCTAGCCCCAAGGCAGGAGCCAATAGAAAGAGCAGGCAGCGGTTGCAAGCGCGCAGGCGCACATCCTTCTAGCTGCGAGGCTAACGAAGCTGTTTTAGGGCGGGGACTAAGAAACCGGAATCACGACTTCATGGGCATTAGAGCTGCCCAATCAGTAGCTTCCTGGTCCGGAAGTGACGCTACCGCCCGAGGGTTAGGCTGGATTTCGTCAACAGGATTGAGGGAAGGACGTGGGCAAGAAACTGTATGGAGATTGGCTGGAGGTACTTCCAGTGAGCTTCACCCGTGACCCGGGATCGTCTGGCGCCAAAATGTCGCTTGTTGCGGGGGTTATCCGGCGGCTGGACGAGACAGTAGTGAACCGCATCGCGGCAGGAGAAGTTATCCAGCGGCCGGCTAATGCCATCAAGGAAATGATTGAGAACTGGTACGAAGGGAGCCAAGGCTTTCTCAGAGGCCACTGCGTAACGGACCGCCGCTATGGATGGCGCGGACACGCCTCCCTGCCCTGAACCCAAGCGTGTGTGGTCGCGGCGGCGGAGGCCCAGGCTGCTGTCTGCTCCCTCGAGCGTTCTCGCGAGACTTTAGGGTTGTTGGGGGGGCAAGGACAGTAAACCAGTATTGTTTTAATGATGCTATTAACTAAGAAACCCTTTAAAAACTGTATATGCAGAAGGTGCAAGTTTTTGAATGTCTAAAAGTTTTATAGTTTAAATTCCTTTCTTCTTTCAAACGGTACCATGGGTTATCAGTTTCTTGCTTATTCCAGAACTCATCCATCTACATTCAACACTACAATTCACTTTGAGTTATATTCAAAATTAACTGCTAGGATTTTAGGAGAGGACCGTGAACTTGGGGTTTAGTTTATGATTTTCCTATTGCCAGGTTAGTCCCCACTTAGGATTTTTTAAACTTTATTTTAATTGGCGGCTAATTACTTTACAATATTGTAGTGGTTTTGCCTCCCCGCACCTCCCTTCCCATCCCACCCCTCTGGATCATCCCAGTGCACCAGCCCTGAGCACCCTGTCTCATGCATCTAACCTGGACTGGCCGTCTGTTTCATATATGATAATATACATGTTTCAGTGCTATTCTCTCAAATCACCCCCTTAGGATTTCCCTACCCTCTTTGCAGAGTCGCTTCAAAGATCCCTTATTTCTTGGGGGTATTCCGGGGATTCTGAAGTTCAGAACTGTCACACAGCCATCGTGGAGAGAAGAGGTTAAAAACGTGGACAGAAGGTTAGGTGTAAACTGTAAACTTCAAAAAGGACAGAGGCTCATAGTATACCTAAATGTGTTGGATCCTTTGTGTTGAAATGCATTGATGTGGGACTTCCCAGGTGGTCCAGTGGCTAAGATTCCATTCTCCCAATGCAGGGGGCTGGAGTTCAATCCCTGGCCAGGGAACTAGATCCCACACGCTGCAACTAAAGATCCTGCGTGCTGCAAACTGAGACTTGGTGCAGCCAAATATTAAAAAAAGGCATTGATGTTAATACAATCCATACGTTAAAGGGGAAAAAATGTTCCAGTTGGAAGGTTTGTAAAGGGATTGTTCTGGAAACATACACAACAAAGAGGGTAATGAAAGAACAGTGGGTTAGAAAAGGACCACCAGGAGAAAGGAAGAGAATTAGAAGGTGGACAAAAGAAGAAGCGGGGAACTTGAGTATCGTTTCTCCTTTTGACTTTAGTTACATAGTTGGCAAAGGCTGGCTTTTTTTCTTCAGTTTTAGAATTAACTAACAGAACAATTCAAGTGTGTTAAAGTACCGTTTAGGAACACTACACATCTTAGATCACTGGCTTACAGTTCTCTATGAAATTTTGTATGGAGTCTAGTTCTGCTGTTTTTTTTTTTTAATTTTATTTTTAAAATTTTTTTAGTTCTGCTGTTTTTAATACACAAGTCAAGATGGCTAAATGCAACTTCAATTCAGGGACTGCTGAGAAAGTTCTTTGATATTTAAGTAACTTATCTTATTTCTGAATAAATAATTGTCTTCCTAAGGAGGAGGTAACTTCTTTTTCTCATGCAGCCCCAGGCTGATTTATTTTCTCTTGCTCTGTAGGTGCTCTTTGCTTGTAGGCTGTTCTTTGAAGGTGTACTAAGCTGTATTTAATTTTCTGCAGCGCCATTTTTTTCTTTCTCTCAATATATATTTTCATAAAGAGAATAGTGGAGAAAAACTTTTAGAATTTTTTCCTTAGTGACATTTTATAAGGGTCATGTAGGATCCTGGGGCTGAATAAGTTTGAGTAACAGATGGTAGAACTAGTTTAGAACTAGAGGAGCAGAAATGTTGTTGAATGTCCTATTGGAAGTGATGGTTGCCCCCTCTGCCCCTCTCTTCTTTCCCTCTCTCTCTCTCACAGCATGTAAGTTGATATCATTGTGGTCTCAGAGCCTTTAAGACAAAAGAAAAACACATTCATCAGCCTTATCTTTGTCTGAAATTTGTTCTTATGCCTTGATTCATTTTAAAATATGTGCATTGGAGTAACTGCAGGCTGATAAGTTACTATTTTTTGTTTGATTTGCCAGTTTAGATGCAAAATCCACAAGTATTCAAGTGGTGGTTAAAGAGGGAGGCCTGAAGTTGATTCAGATTCAAGACAATGGCACTGGGATCAGGGTGAGTAAAACCTCAGAGCAGCAGGATGTTTGTGTGCTGCCTGTGTGCATCTGCAGGAAGTGGTGGAACTTTGCCCTGTTCTGGAGACTTCAGGCTTTTATGAATGGGATTGTTTGAGAACTTCAACACCAATGATAAATATTTATTGAGTACCTATTCCATGCCGGGCAGCGTTCAGGAGAGTAAGGAGGTCAGGGATCGAGTCATGAGGCCGTTTAGAGGTTGAGTGTTCTGAGCAGAGAGAGAGACACACAAAAACCACAAAATGGAAGCTTGCCGGACATGTTTTAAGGACTAGCAAGGAGCTTGGGGTGTCTAGAATGGGGTGGTGGGGGGAGTGGAAGAGTAGTGGGAGATGAGGTCTGAAGGAGAAGCAGGCTGAGCATGCAGGAACTTGTGGGACGTTGTAGAACCTTTGGCTTTTACTCTGGATGAGGAGGGGTATGATTAGAGCATTTTGAGCCAAGAGATAACATGGTTTGGCAAGTTTTATAAGAACTCTTCTGTCTGCAGTGTGGAAAATAGACTGCAGCAGGACAGGACAGAAGCAGTGAGATTCTTTGTTGGTGGTGATGAACAAAGCTCTCAGAATTTGCTGGTGTAGGGAGTAAGAGAGAGGAGTCAAGAATGACTTCAAGGTTTTGGCCTGTGCAAATAGAAAAAGAAGCTGCCATTTACTGATGGGAAGGCTGTGAAACAGGTGGATTTGGGAAGATCAGAAATTCATTTGGGGGTGTGTTAAATTTAAGATGCCTGTTAGTGGGATCCATGTGTGAGTTTGGAGTGCAAAGTAGACGTTTGCATTGGAGATAAAAATTTGGTGTATTGCATTTAATGGTATTAAAAGCCATGAGACTCACACGAAGAGACACTTGACGTGATTAGTCCTTAGGGAAATAGAAATAAAAACTTCAGTGAGCTCCCACTTGACATCTGTTAGGATGGTTGTTATAACTAATTAATTAATGAAAGGATTGTCACCGTATCCTGCCTGTCATGTGCTTCATACAGTGGGATGTCACTCCAGGATCTTTCTTCAGATGTGTAAGCTCCCTCATCCATTAAACCTTTGATGTCTCAAAAAGGAAATATTGGCAAGGATGTTGAGACACTGGAGCTCTTGTACATTGCTGGTGGGAGTATCAAATAGTGCAGCCACTGGAAGAAAATTAAAGAATTGCCATATGATCCAGCAATTCCACTTTTGGGTTTATACCCGAAAGAGTTGAAAGCAAGGTCTTAAAGAGATTTGCACACTCAGGTTCTTAACAACATATTCATGATATTCCAAAGATGGAGGCAACAGATGAGTGGATAAACAATATATGATAAATACATATAGTGGAATGTTATTCATTCTTAGAAAGGAGTGAATTTTTGACAAATGCTATTACATGGATGAACCCTAAAGACAGGATGCTAAGTAGAATTAGCTAGTCACAAAAGGACAAATACTGTTTGTTTCTACTTATATGGCGTATCTAGTGTAGTTGAATCTTTAGAATCAGAAAGTAGAATGGTGGTTCCCAGGGGCTTGGAGGAGGGGGAAATGGAGCCCTTTTGTTAATGGGTACACTTTCCGTTTGGGGAGATTTCAGAGTTCTGGACATGGAAGTTGGTGATGGTTGCACAATATTGTGAATGTACTTCATACACCTAGAGAGAGTTAAAGTGGTAAATTTTGTTATTTTCTTTTACTGCAATTAAATATATCTAAATTTTTAATAAAGGAGTTTCCAAATACAGTAATTTTTTTTGTACAATCTGTGAGCCTGCATGAGATCATCGAGAGAATTAGTGTAGGCAGAGCAGAGGTCTAGGGATGGAATTGTGGCTTATTCGCCGTCAGGGCAGCTGAGACAGAAGCAGCAGGGCAGGCGGAGAACCAGGTGAGTGAAGAGGAGGGAGTGTCAGGGCCTTGTGGGATTCTGGATGCCCAGAGAGGAGGCTCCTGCTGATTTAGAACTCTTCTCCCAAGAGCGTTTTCTTCCTGGAGTCAGTCAAGAAAGGGGAAATTCAGAAAGATTGGGAAAAATGAGTAACATACTTATTTACTTGTTTCTTTGCACCTTGTAGAAAGAAGATCTTGAGATTGTGTGTGAGAGGTTCACTACTACACCACAGTTCAAAAGCATCAGTTCTTCGGTGCTCAACCTTCTTTATGGTCCAGCTGTCACATCCATACATGACTACTGGGAAAACTGTAGCTTTGACTGCATGGATCTTTGTTGGCAAAGGAATGTCTCTGCTTTTTAATATCATGTATCTCCAGAGACGTCCCAGTCTCTTGATGAAAGAAGACTGCACCACCTACCAAGTTTTCTTGTCCAAAATAAGATGTGAATCTCAGGCAATACTTAGATCTAAGTTAACAGTATACTGAAAATACAGGGAGTGAGGCAGCATGGTACAGGGCGCTGAGACTGGGAAATGATGTGATGAAAACTTGCTTCGTATAAGGTAAACTGCACAGGGGAAGAAAGGCAAAGAAGGGAGCAAGAATCATAGGTTAGGGGGGATTTAAGAGGCATATGAGCCAGCTTCACCATGTGGATCTTACTTGGATCCTGATTTGCACAAACTAAAATTTTTTTGAGACAGATAATTGAACTCAGATTGATTTGAACTCAGATTGATTATTTGATTTTATTGAGAAATTACTGTTAATTTTCTTGATATAAAAAGTTTCATGGGGTTTTTATTTTTTGAGTCCTAATCTTTTAAGTTATATTCTGAAGTATCTATAAATGAAATTATATGGCATATCATGGGGACATATGATATAGACAATGGATAAAAATACTTTTAAGACTAAAATAACTTATATTTTTGTGACAATACTCTGTGGATATAAAGATATCTTTGAGTATATGTAGGACTACGTGAATTATAATGGCTACATACTGTTCTATTACTTATATGTACTGTAGTCTGTTTAAAGATTTCCTGTTGAACGTTTATGCTATTTGCCATTTTTTTCATGCCTAATGCTCTGGTGAACATTCACATGTACAGTGTGTTTTGTTCAGTTAATTTTCTTAGGATAAGTTTATAGATATAATGTTTGTGAGTAAAAATATACATACCCTTCCTGTAACTTGTATTAGCTTCCTATTGCTGCTCCCCCAAATGACCACAATCTTAGTGGTTTAAAACAACACACATTTGTTATCTTACAGTTCTTGAGGTCAGGGGACATAGGTATCACTGTGCTAAAATCCAGGCGTTGGCCGGGCAGTGTTCTGGCTGTATTCTGGGGGCTTTGGGGTACCAGAGAAACTGTTTGGGGGTAGTTATTTGGGGGGATGAGAGGGAAGGGAAGGGAATGGAGCCAATTATTTTTCATTTTAGGCCTTTTTGTAGTTTAAAAATTTTTTATCATGTGAATGTACTTTTACTTTGATTTTTTTCTTTTTAATTAAAAGGCAGCTTTTTCTGACCCAGTTGCCACAATGCAGATCAAATCCAGGTGGCCTGAAGCACCCTCCGGCTCACAATGAGCCCCAGGTTGTTGCAGGAAGGAGTGGCATCAGACTGTGAGCCTTGAGGGTCCCCTGACTTCAAGTAGGTCTCAGGTCGGCCCTGGCAAAGCAGTTTCATTCTGACTTCGCAACTTCCCGAGTCAGTTCCTAAGCCTCGGGCCTTCTGTAGCCTTAGCCCAGTTGTAGTCTGTTTGGGGTTGTGACTAAACAGGGAAGATTTACTGAGAGATTGCTATGTGCCATTTGTGGTTCTCAGCCCTTTGTATGTATTAACCCTTTCACACTTGACAGCTCTGAAAGAGTAGGTTCTATTATTGTAACCCTGTTTGACATATTGGGAAACCAACACTCAGACTTAAGTGTGGCTGGAGTGCACAGCTGGAAAGTGGCAGGATCGGGAACTGAGCCCTGAGTCCAGAGTCTGGCTCCAGAGTCTGTTGTTATCCGCTTCCCGCAGTGCCTGTACCAAGGCCCTGAAGCAGCTGGATCATCTGCCGGTGGCTTGCTTTCTTCATGGTGTTGGGTAGTGTTGTAGTTTTGGATGTTCTTCCTTATCAAAATCTCAAAATCATTAAAAAAATAGAGTCTCAAAATCATTTACATATTTAATAATGAAAATCAGGACTTCTCTATAGCTCAGATGGTAAAGAATCTGCCTGCAGTGCAGGAGACCTGGGTTTGATCCCTGGGTCAGGAAGATTCTCGAGAAGGGAATGGCAACCTACTCCAGTCTTCTTGCCTGGAGAATCCCGTGGACAGAGGAGCCTGGTGGGCTACAGTCCTTGGGGTTGCAAAGAGTCAGACTGAACTGAGTGAAAATTAGCTTATCACAATCCACCAGGGAAATCCAGCTAGGACCTGGTAATCTCTGAGCCTGAGCGGTGGTCCTTGTTAATGAACTAAAGCTTCCACTGCTGTATTTACTGTCTGCTCAGATGTTGTCACACATCACAGTGCTTAGGCTGTGTTTTTTTATGCTGTGATGTCCTGTGAAAGGAGATACAGGTTCCACAGGGCCAGTGAATCAGTCTTGACTTTCAGGGGGAAAAATGGTCATTTAAAAAAAAATTTGTTTCATCTTAATTGCATAATTTATAATTTTTATTTCTAAACATTAAATTGCTCACAGAAAACAGTTTTGAATACAGTTTACAACACTATCAATTTGGAGTGTTTCCATTATCCCGTTTCTGAAGGCAAGCTTTAAAACTGTTAGAAGACAGGTCATTGAGAATATTAAACATGCCTGTAACTCTACACCTGAACACAGTTGCCGTTCACATTAATTCTTGGTTGTGTTTTCTTTTTGGACTTTTGTATGGATGTATTTCTTTCCCCTCTTGTTCTAGTAATTATGCTGCAGATTCAGTTTGATAGCTTCCTTTTTTTTTTAATGTGTCATCAAATGAGTGAGCAGAGTACTCCTTGTTGCCATTTGTTGATACAAAACAGAAGAGGCAATTTAGGTGACTTCTCCCTTAATGCGAGGTGGGGGTGACCCGGGAGTGGGCTTTTCTTTCACTCCATGTCCTTTCCCCCCTTAGGCTTTGGCCAGCATAAGCCACGTGGCTCACGTCACCATTACAACCAAAACAGCTGACGGGAAGTGTGCATACAGGTATAGTGCTGTCTGTCCTCTGCTCAGCGCATAGATTCATCCTGAAACATGCTTTTGGCCTGCAACTCAAAGTAATCCTGTCTAAACATGAATGTTATATTTTTTTGCCTAGATCTTGGGTACATTTTCTTTCCTATCCAAAGGGGTGGTTGTAAGTAATAATCTTACTTCATGAACTCGTGAAAGGTCCGTTGTGACAGGTTACGAGTGCCTAGCGCCGTGTCTGTTACGCCGAGAGGGCTGAGTCGGTGGGAGCTGTGGTGTCACTCTGCCCCTTGGCCCTTCAGCAGGGTGTGGCTTTGGCCTGATTCCGCGGCTGTGGCTGGGATGCCAGAGGATTGTGACTCCTTAGCTGCCTCTGATCCCCGGCCACACGTGAGTGCCCCTGTGGATTCCTTCCCACAGGTGCCCACTGGCTGTCTCTTGTGCTGGCACAGAACAAGAAGGGGATTCAAGGAATCAAAATCATACCTTTGCTCTCATAGCCGTTGGCCATTACTAGTGAAAGATGGGTATTCATATCTAATTCCTGCCAAAAAGGAGAATTTTTTTCTTACCATACTGACTGTTAGTTTATACAGAAAACAGCTTCACGAGAGGGCAGTTCTGTCTGTGTCCCAGCCCTCTTCCGCAGATGAGTGTGTGCCGTCATGGACGATGGAGCGGTTCAGTCTGCAGCGCTTGGTGCTGCAGGGGGTTGTCCAGATGCAGATTGCGACAGCCTAGGGCCTGGCTGGGCTGATATGATTAGAATCTCTTCTCACAACCCGGGGAGGTGCTTGTGAGTGAATGTCTTCTGAAATAGCCTAGGGCGCAGGCTCCATTTCTTTGCCTCTGGAGTCTCATGCCCCTGCTTGGGACCTCTCATGGCTCCCCCTGTGTGGCAGGATGAAATCCAGAGTCTTCGTCATAGCAGCTTGTGCCCTCCCCAGGTGCTCAGTCCATCTTCCCAGCCTCTCCCCACAGTCGCGCTGCTATGTGTTCTAAAGCTTCTGTGCTTTTGTCTATCTTTTCCCTTCCTGGATGGACTTCCCTGCCCTTTCTGCTTGAGAAGATACCAGCCTAGGGCCCAGGTGAAGCGTCATCTCTTCTGCGACACTTCCTCCCACCCCACCCCAGGCTCAATGTTTTCCTTCTCTGGACCACTTGACACCTTGTTCCACACTTCAGGGAGCAGTCTGTCCCCTCACTAAATCAAGAACCTCCCAAGGCCTGTCTCTATTTCAGGGCGTTTACAGAACGGATACATGATAGTCCTTCAATGAATGATTGCAGAATTATTGAAAAAATGTTACTGTCATCTTAGGCAGTGTCAGAACTTTTGTTTGTAGCCCAGAACTCAGAAACTAAAGATGCAGTAGTTGGTAAACGAACAAAAAAGTAGGGATCTTTCTCCCCTTCTTTGGTACCCATTTATGATGGTTATGGAAGTAGAAAAAGGGAGGAAGCTGGCAACTCAGACAACATATAACATGGCTATATTTTAATCTGCTGTTGGTGTGACTTACTTTTTTAGTCTTTGGAGAAGTATCTTTTCTGTATTAGCTATCAGTATCTCTTATATTTTCTGATAGAGCTCATTACTCGGATGGAAAGCTGAAAGCGCCTCCTAAACCGTGTGCAGGCAACCAAGGGACCCAGATCACGGTAAGAATGGTACACAGGAGGTGAGGTTGTTGGGAAAGAGCTTTGTATAAATACTGAAATAAAAGACAAAATTGTCTCCGAGTTCTCAAAGGATTGATAGAGTGAATACTTACCAGTTAATAGAGGCCTCAAGATATCACCCTGTAAGAAAGAGAAATGATGATTGATTTTTGTGACATGGCAGCCTGCCCACCGCCTCCTTTTTTTTTAAGAGGCTGGGAGATTCTTCTGTTGAGATGGCAGACATCGGTGGCAGGGTAGCTGTCATTGAAAGAACCTTAAACTTGACTCCAGAAGACAAGTCCAGAATCCTAACCTTGCCACTCAGCGGCAGTGTGTCCAGAGGCATCAGTCTGTCCCCTCACTAAATCAAGAACCTCCCAAGGCCTGTCTCTATTTCAGGGCGTTTACAGAACGGATACATGATAGTCCTTCAATGAATGATTGCAGAATTATTGAAAAAATGTTACTGTCATCTTAGGCAGTGTCAGAACTTTTGTTTGTAGCCCAGAACTCAGAAACTAAAGATGCAGTAGTTGGTAAACGAACAAAAAAGTAGGGATCTTTCTCCCCTTCTTTGGTACCCATTTATGATGGTTATGGAAGTAGAAAAAGGGAGGAAGCTGGCAACTCAGACAACATATAACATGGCTATATTTTAATCTGCTGTTGGTGTGACTTACTTTTTTAGTCTTTGGAGAAGTATCTTTTCTGTATTAGCTATCAGTATCTCTTATATTTTCTGATAGAGCTCATTACTCGGATGGAAAGCTGAAAGCGCCTCCTAAACCGTGTGCAGGCAACCAAGGGACCCAGATCACGGTAAGAATGGTACACAGGAGGTGAGGTTGTTGGGAAAGAGCTTTGTATAAATACTGAAATAAAAGACAAAATTGTCTCCGAGTTCTCAAAGGATTGATAGAGTGAATACTTAACCAGTTAATAGAGGCCTCAAGATATCACCCTGTAAGAAAGAGAAATGATGATTGATTTTTGTGACATGGCAGCCTGCCCACCGCCTCCTTTTTTTTTAAGAGGCTGGGAGATTCTTCTGTTGAGATGGCAGACATCGGTGGCAGGGTAGCTGTCATTGAAAGAACCTTAAACTTGACTCCAGAAGACAAGTCCAGAATCCTAACCTTGCCACTCAGCGGCAGTGTGTCCAGAGGCAGGTCATTCAGTGGCCGTTCATCTTACTTTGCTCCTCTATCAAAGGATGGCACGAGGAATATTTGACCACTCATTCAAAGGGAACTTGAGTAACACAGTTGTGTCATTAATCAGGAGAAAGGCTGTTAAGCTGCCTTATTTCTGTTGTGCCATGTTTGGTGTATTTCTTTTCCAGGGTCCCATAAATCACCCCGCTATCACGTTACACATCCCACCCCCGCACCCCCAGCCCCAGCCAGAGCACATCTGCTTGAAGGCTCCAAGCCCTGGGCTTGATGAGGCAGGTCGGGGGCACAGCAATGAAGAAATGTACTTTGCATCTCATGTTAAGCAGGATCTTGTCCCTGGGACCACAGTGTGATTTCCAAGAACCCCCAAAAGATCTAATAATTATTTCTAGTTTGTGAAAGTTTCATGCCATGTGGTGTCACAGTGGTTTATAAGTTTATCTTTGCCCCACTAAATCCTGTGCCGTTTTGGGCAGGACTGTATATTTTATTTGTTGTCTTATTCCCAGCACAAGGCAAAGAGCCTGACATGGAGGTGGACCTCAGTGCCTATCTGAGAAGTTAGTGAGTTAAGTGGGAGGCAGGAAAATATGCTTGCTTTCTTTTGTTAAGGCAGCCCCATCTCCTGCCCTGTTTTCTAACGCTTAGAACTGTGCTGATGGTAAACATAGTTGGATTCTCTGCCTTAAGACCATGCTGTACTTCCATATACTTCTGTGAATTTACAAGAAACATCAACCTTCTGTTCAGGTGGAGGACCTTTTTTACAATGTATCCACGAGGAGGAAAGCTTTAAAAAACCCAAGCGAAGAATATGGGAAAATTTTGGAAGTTGTCGGCAGGTACAGTCCACAGTTTGGGTGTGGGTCTCTGAATCATTCTGTCACCAGAGAAATGTGTTCTGGTGCTTAGAAATGGAGAAGAGTGTCAGAGCTAGATGGTAAGCAGCAATACCAGCCCGTAAATTGTTTCTGGTCAGAGGTTAGCTCAACATTATTCTCTTTCCCTCTCTCTCTGAAAGAGAACAACAGTGCAGGAGATGTTGAAGCTACATTCTCAAGATGTCTTTAAGACAGCTCAGATCTTTTGAGTTTGTGAAAATAAAACTGTGGGCAAGGAGAAAACTAATTCTGGGTTTTCTGTCATGTCCCCAGGAGATGGCAATTGTTTTCTGTATCTGTGAAGGGTCTTTGGTGGCAGGCAAAACAGACTAGCTAACCTGGGTCCAAAAGAAATTTATTGAAAGGCTAGGAGTGACTCAGAAAGTAGAAGAAAGTGTAGACAGCTCCTTCTTGAAGAGGTCAAGAAGCAAGGTGGCTTCAGGGGTTTAGTGTCTGCGCCCCAACTCTCTCCATTCCTCTCCTGAGTCTGCTCAAGAGCGTCTTCTGGGAGAGTGCATCTGATTGGCGTAGCCTGGGTCCCCCCGTTGTGTGCCCACATTGGTGGGGAGATGACGTCTCAATTGAATTCTGAGAAAGGATATACAAGTGGAAGGGGGAGAGGTGGTGGAGGAAAGAGTTAGGGGCTGTTAACAGAGGGAGAAGGGACCCAGGGCAGGTGAAAACAGCATCATGTCCAGGATTGACTTAACCTGCTAGTACAGTGGCCCCAGCATGGCTCTTTGCGCCTGCGAGTCCTTGAGTTGCAACAGAGATGTGTTAACTATTTCTCAGTATTGCTACAAAATCTAAAGTCAATAAAACATTTGCCTCTAATAAAGTGGAACGAACTTTGTTAGGTAAAGTCCATTTTATTAATAAAGTGGAATGGACTTACACATGAAGTTTCTTTGCTCTTTCCCCTGGAGTCATATGAATCGGTATCAGAATGTTAATTAGCTCCTGGAAATAGAGGCATTCTGATGGACTGTTTTGGTTCCAGGTGCAGTACGTGGACTGTTCCTGAATAAGTGCGTTTTGCTAGGCACAGTCCCTCAGTTCCTGGGGCCCATGGGGGAGGGGGGCAAATGGCAGCCAGCGGAGAAAAGGCTGGGGGGTCCTGAAGCAGGACCTCGGGGGGAGGAAGACGCGGGCTGAGAGGGGGCTGTGTTGGGGTCTCTGAGACAGAAGAACAGCACAGGGGGTGTTCAGGCTACCTTCTCAAGAAGTTTTTGAGGCCACTCAGATCTTTTGAGTTTGAAGATAAAACTAAGCAGGGAGGAGATTGTGTTGAAATACCCTCGAGCCTAGTCAGCAACGCATGGAAGCAAAAGGGAAACCTGTTTTTTGTTCATTTCTGCCACGTTTAGCAATGAGATCTTCATGCAGTCTTTGCTGGTTTATTTTCATGTGGGCAAAATATGATATTTGAAGATATTTTTGTTTGTCTGTATCTTTGTTTAGATCAGTTAACTCCACTGATTTAACTACAAGGGGGCTCTTTCTCATATGGTGCGTTTGGCTTCTCTTTTTTACTATTTGTTTTTTCTCTTGCCAGGTATGCAATACACAATTCAGGGATTGGTTTCTCAGTTAAAAAAGTAAGTTCTTAATTTATAAAGGATGGTTACATACTATAAAAGAAGAAGGTTTTTTTTTTTTTTAAATAGTTGTCTGTGGAGATAAGGTTATGGTATTTCAGTCAGCCCTGTTCTGTTTATCAGCAAGGTGAAACAGTAGCCGACGTCAGGACCCTGCCAAATGCCACGACTGTGGACAACATTCGCTCCATCTTTGGAAATGCTGTTAGCCGGTATGCTGATAACTTGCATTTTTTAAAGTCTTCTGTGCTCTATCACATTATTTTGGAATCTGTTTACACTTGCCTTAAGAGTTTTCTTTAACCAAGTACAGGCTTGTTTTTCTGCTTCAGGCTTGTTGTCGTGTTTCAGATTATTTCGTATAATCAGTGCTTCTTGGGTGCACATCATCTCCTAGGTGGTCTGGCTGCAAACTGTTTGTTCTCTCTAGGTCTCTCTGTCTTCAGAACATCTCTGGTGTAGAAGAATTCTATCCTCTGTTGTTCCCGCTTGTCCTTGTATTTTCATAATTGTCGCTTGGATTGCATTTATTACCACTCAACATTTATTTATTGCCTCCCATATTCTGGGCTTTGTGCCAGAAGGTAAAGACGTAAAGACAAGTAGAATGTTCTGCCCCTGAAGACGTCCCTGTCTGGTGGTGAGCAGTGTCGTGTCGCTCGATCTTCATGGTCAAAGCCTCAGCGGGAAAATTGCCTGTATTCTAGATTTCTCACAGCACTCCCCTTGATGGGTGAAGGCCACTGTTTCCAATACACATCCTTAGCTTAATCTCAGGGCTTTGCAAAGCCCAAAGTGTCTGCATCATAATCTGAGGGGAAGATACTAAGCGCCTTCTGTATGCCAAGCAGGCCCCAGAAGCTGGAGGTACATGGATGAATGAGACAGCCCCCGATTTCACCTTTTCTAGCAATCTTAAAAGCAGGAGCAGGAGTCCCAGAATTCAGTTTTCTACTCCAAAGGATAGATTACTCACTCTTTGGACAAAACCAGGTTCCTAACTAGAGAACAGTCAATTTGCTTTTAATTACCCTTTTTTTTTTTTTTAATAATCAAGTGTTAAAGAATTATTTTTCCAGTTGTGCTCCCAGAGCAAACAGAGAGTTCTGTTGACCAAATTTGAAGACCCAGTGAAACTTTTTTTTTCTCCCCTGTGAAACTTTTAAGAGCTCTTTGGCTGGATTCCAAGGTTCAGGATTAGTTGTTATGAAACTCTTAGAGAGTATAAGAGATTGGAAACCCCAAGGAGGAGCAGCTCCCCAAACAGGTTTCCAGAAAACCAGCCTCTTTTTGGGGAGAGAGGGCCTGCTGGTTCGCTGCGTGGGAGGCATGGGAAGCTGTTCCCTGCGCAGACTTGGAGTGCGCACCACTGCCTGTGGAGCGTCAGCCATCCTTCCAGCAAGTGTGTAATGAGATACTGCTCCTTGCTGGCCGCTGTGCCGTGGGGTAGAGGTGGGGAGGAGCGAATAAAGCAGGAAGGAGTCTTGCCCCCAGACAACCCACACTGTAATTGAAAAGACACAGGAAATAATTACTCCATTCATTAGTGACTGCTCGATGGCTTAAAGGAAAAGTATAAGGCGGGGCGTCTCCTGAGGTCAGGGAGAGGGATTGTCATGGAAGGCTCTTTGAGGAGGTGACCCCTAGATACAGTGGATAAGGAGGAATTAACTAGCTGGCGTTTGTGCCAAGTCGCTTCAGTCGTGTCTGATTCCGTGCAAGCCCATGGACTGTAGCCCTCGGGGCTTCTCTGTCCACAGGGTTCTCCAGGCAAGAATACTGGAGTGGGTTGCCATTCCTACTCCAGGGGATCTTCCTGAACCAGGGATTGAACCTGTGTCTCTTACGTGTCCTGCTTTGGCAGGCAGGTTCTTTACCACTAGCGCCACCTGGGAAGCCACACCACCAGAGGGAACTTAGCAGCTGGAGGGATTAGCACTTGAGAGGCCCTCAGGCAGAAATGAGTGTGGCTCATGGGAGGACCTTGTTTCATCTTAATAGGTGCCCCTGCTCCCCATAAACACACTCTAGGGGGCACCACACAGGAGCCTGTCATGTTCCCCATCAGCAAAGTAAGAGATTTTCAGTAGAGATGATTCTTTGGAATCTCATCTTTGGGACTGAGTTACTAAGATACATAAAAGTTTCAGCAAAATAACATCTCAGAACTTGATTTGCCATGTCCCAACAGAGACAGTGATGATTGACATATAAATGCTTGAAAATACTGGCTAGGTGGGTGGGTGAGAGGTTGGATAGACGGATGGAGGGTGGGCCTGGAGGATCTTAATGAACCAAGTCTCTGGGATCCACATTTGGCAGAGTCAGTTTATGGGAAGGAGCCCTGATTTTTCCAACTCTGATTCTTTAGAGTGTTTGAATTTTCCAGTTGTTTGAAAAGCCTCAAAATTTCTCTTTTTTCCAACCAGAGAATTGATAGAAGTTGAATGTGAGGATAAAACCCTTGCCTTCAAAATGAATGGCTACATATCCAATGCAAACTATTCGGTGAAGAAGTGCATCTTCTTACTCTTCATCAACCGTAAGTGAGAAAGAACTATGTGGAGAAATCTCTCCACAGGGAACTTTAAGGGGCCATGGAGGAATTTCTTATCCACAGGCTTGATTACACCCAGGGAAACCTTATGCAGAAATGTGGTTTAATTAGGAAGTAGGTACGGTTTCTGCCCTGAGTCTCCTCAGTCCTGTCTCACGTGCTCAGGGTTGGCTGACAGTTGCGGAGTCTGGTTCTTGCCTCTGAGAGGATGCCCAGGGGAGGGCATCCCAGCCCTGTGAGCCAGTCAGCCTCCTCCCTGCTGGCCTCGGAGCCTTACCAGCAGGCCCGGGGCAGACCTTTGTTCTCTTCTTACATCAAGACCCACTGTTGGGAATTGCGCAGCAGGGCATAGGGAGGGGGTATTTTAGGTGCAGGCAGTGTTTTTTCCTTTTTTTAATTGAGTATAGTTGATTTACAGTATTGTATTAGTTTTAGGTACACAGCAAAGTGAATCAGTTATACACTTATGTATATATTTTCAGATTCTTTCCATTATAGGTTATTGCAATATATTGAATATAGTTCCCTGTGCTATACAGTAAATCTTTGTTGTCTGTTTAACATACAGTGGTGTGTATTGGTTAATCCCACGCTCCTAATTTATCCCTCTCCCCCCTTTTTCCATTGGTATCCATAAGTTTGTTTTCTACGTCTGTGAGTCTGTTTCTGTTTATAAATAAGTTCATTTGTAGTATTTTTTGTATTCTACATGAAATTGATACAGTAATTTGTCTTTGACTTATCTCACTTACCATGTTGCTGCAAATGGCAATATTTCATTCTTTTTCATGGATAATATTCCCACTGTGATATATCTATGCACATAGATGCTTATAGAAATACACAGCACGTCTTCTTTGTTCTCGCATCTGTTCATGGACATTCGGGTTGCTTCCATGTCTTTGCAGCTGTGAATTTTGGGGTGCATTTGTACCTTTTTGAATTGGAGTTTTCATTTTCTCCAGATGTTGGATTGTGTGGTAACTCTGTTTTTAGTTTTGTAAGGAACCTCTGTCCTGTTCTCTGTAGTGGCTGTACCAGTTTACACTCCCACCAGCAGTGGAGGGGGGTTCCCTTTTCTCCACACCCTCTCCAGCATTTATTATTTAAGGACTTTTTAGAGGTTAGCTCAGACTCTTATGTGTGTCATTCACTTATCTACACACTGGGCAGGCTCCCTCGGGTGGCAGGGACAAAGAACACTTCTCCAGCGTGTCTCAAGTTCAGAAACCTCAGCAGAGGGCCCCTTTTGTTAGGTTACGTAGCACAGCGACATCATCGTGGCAGCTGTGGGTGACGTAGTGAGCACTCAGAATAATAGTCTCCTTGCTCATAAGATCACTGCCTCTCTTTCCTTGGACATAAAAAGATGTGACGTACCCCCCGCTCCACCAGCACAGGACAGTAGGTCATCAACAGGTCAAGAGTCTGGGGAGAAAAGAGAGCCGTGTTGTTTGAAAATAGATCTTCCAGCTTATCTCTCCGGCTCTTGCCGTTTTCTACCCTCTCAAGCCTACCTCATCTCCTAAATTACTCTCAGCACGCAGTCAGAGGTTTGTACCCCCTGAAATGCCTGGGAAATGCATTTACCCTTGAGTCTCTGTTCAGCTCCCGCAGTGCTGGAGCTCCCTGAGCCAGCGTGGCTGCGGTCTCCCCCACCATTCAGCACGCGGTCCTTACCACGGGAGGCTGGGACTAGTTCTGTTCACCAGCCTTTGTTTCCCTGCTTGTAGCCCAGGGTGTATATTTGCAGAATGAAGTTCTGAGCAGGGGCACGTGGTCTGCCTGGGCTGCCGGGGAGGGGTGAGGAAGGGAGCAGGGAGGCAGAATTGGCTGTTGCTGCTGCTTAATATATTGAATATAGTTCCCTGTGCTATACAGTAAATCTTTGTTGTCTGTTTAACATACAGTGGTGTGTATTGGTTAATCCCACGCTCCTAATTTATCCCTCTCCCCCCTTTTTCCATTGGTATCCATAAGTTTGTTTTCTACGTCTGTGAGTCTGTTTCTGTTTATAAATAAGTTCATTTGTAGTATTTTTTGTATTCTACATGAAATTGATACAGTAATTTGTCTTTGACTTATCTCACTTACCATGTTGCTGCAAATGGCAATATTTCATTCTTTTTCATGGATAATATTCCCACTGTGATATATCTATGCACATAGATGCTTATAGAAATACACAGCACGTCTTCTTTGTTCTCGCATCTGTTCATGGACATTCGGGTTGCTTCCATGTCTTTGCAGCTGTGAATTTTGGGGTGCATTTGTACCTTTTTGAATTGAGTTTTCATTTTCTCCAGATGTTGGATTGTGTGGTAACTCTGTTTTTAGTTTTGTAAGGAACCTCTGTCCTGTTCTCTGTAGTGGCTGTACCAGTTTACACTCCCACCAGCAGTGGAGGGGGGTTCCCTTTTCTCCACACCCTCTCCAGCATTTATTATTTAAGGACTTTTTAGAGGTTAGGTCAGACTCTATGTGTGTTGTTCACTTATCTACACACTGGGCAGGCTCCCTCGGGTGGCAGGGACAAAGAACACTTCTCCAGCGTGTCTCAAGTTCAGAAACCTCAGCAGAGGGCCCCTTTTGTTAGGTTACGTAGCACAGCGACATCATCGTGGCAGCTGTGGGTGACGTAGTGAGCACTCAGAATAATAGTCTCCTTGCTCATAAGATCACTGCCTCTCTTTCCTTGGACATAAAAAGATGTGACGTACCCCCCGCTCCACCAGCACAGGACAGTAGGTCATCAACAGGTCAAGAGTCTGGGGAGAAAAGAGAGCCGTGTTGTTTGAAAATAGATCTTCCAGCTTATGTCTCCGGCTTTGGCCGTTTTCTACCCTCTCAAGCCTACCTCATCTCCTAAATTACTCTCAGCACGCAGTCAGAGGTTTGTACCCCCTGAAATGCCTGGGAAATGCATTTACCCTTGAGTCTCTGTTCAGCTCCCGCAGTGCTGGAGCTCCCTGAGCCAGCGTGGCTGCTGTCTCCCCCACCATTCAGCACGCGGTCCTTACCACGGGAGCTGGGACTAGTTCTGTTCACCAGCCTTTGTTTCCCTGCTTGTAGCCCAGGGTGTATATTTGCAGAATGAAGTTCTGAGCAGGGGCACGTGGTCTGCCTGGGCTGCCGGGGAGGGGTGAGGAAGGGAGCAGGGAGGCAGAATTGGCTGTTGCTGCTGCTTTGGTGAGAGGAGAGCCCCACGCCCCCAGTGAGATGCTGGGGGATCATGACGGTAAGGGGGTACTGTTGTGGGTGTCACCCCAGCCGTGTTCTTCCCGAGCTGATGTCATGGCATGGTATTGGTGGGCACCTGTCACCTCACCCTTAAGACAGATAGGACCTAATCACCTTTTATTTTCTAGATCGTCTGGTAGAGTCCGCTTCCTTAAGAAAAGCCATAGAAACGGTGTATGCGGCGTATTTGCCCAAAAGCACACATCCGTTCCTGTACCTCAGGTAAGGCAGCACTGAATTCCTCACCCAAGACTCGTAGAGAAGAGAAATTCTGTCCAGCCATCCTCTCTGGAAGAGCCACGGACTTGTTGGTTAGCCCAGTGAGAGTGAACCCCATATCCCACTGGCACAGGGTGTTCTGTCCCTTTTCACAGGTGAAAGGCACAGTTTGCCTTTATTTATTCACTTCTGCTGTAGAATCCCACCGAGAGCCTCCCTGGTGCCAGGCAGTATGTTAGTGAAACAAAAGTGAACATCGCCTTGCCCCTGAACCAGGAGGAACCTGCCTTAACCTGGCAGAGAAGCCTTTTTCTCCTGCGAGTCTGTCCAGCGCCCTCTACCGACAACAGTTCACACTGCCACACTCCTTATCCGAGCTTGCAGTGATAGATGCTGGATTTGACCTGAGGCAGTAAGTTGATGGCACAGCCTTTAAACTGACTTTTGTGCAGCATTTTAATGTTAGAAAGTTCTCTCACATATATTATTTTTTGAATATGTTTTTTATCTCCACATAATACTGAACAGTAAGTAGGGACAGGTTCATGGTTACATATGGGAGAACCAGTCCTGAGAAGTTAACACATTGTTGACTTTGCAGAAACTAGCTGACCCCTGTCATTGATGAGTTGTTATGTACATGAATATTGAAACACTCTGGTCTATAAAGTTTGGGTAACAAAAGACATATTAATAGGTTGCTGGTCAGTGAATTGTTAAATGCCTTGGCTGTGAGTTATGGAATGAGAAATTCCACTAGCTCTGGAGTGATGGTAGTAACAGCTGATGGATGATAAATGTGCTGGGTACATGCAAAGTGCTTTACATGAATTTAATCCCCAACATGTATTAGGTCCAGTTCACAGGCATGGAAATCGAGGCATAGAAAGGTGCTGTAACCTACCTGCAGCCGCTCAGCTGTCAAGTAGCAGAGTCAGCATTTGAACCATGGTCATTAGATTTGACCTTGAAGTCTTAACCACTGCGTCATTTGGCCTTCCCAAGTCTCCTGCCCACCGCATACACTGTGAGTGAATTTTCCCGCGTTTCTCACTGTGTTGCGTCATTCTTCTTTTTCCTGCCAGTCTAGAAATCAGCCCCCAGAATGTGGACGTCAATGTGCACCCCACGAAGCACGAAGTTCACTTCCTGCACGAGGACAGCATCCTGGAGCGGGTGCAGCAGCACATTGAGAGCAGGCTCCTGGGCTCCAACGCCTCCAGGACCTACTTCACCCAGGTGGGGACCCCTCCCCCGGCTCTCTGTCCCGCGCCTTTGCCACCATGAACGTGCCCTGTCACACAGGAGAGCCCAGATATTTCACTGTTGCTTTATGGGACTTTCTGCTTGCTTTGATTCTTTTCTTTTTTTCTTTTGGCCTTGACCTGCAGCATGCAGGATCTTAGTTCCCTGACCAGAGATCAAATCCATGCCCCCTGCGGTGGAAACTTAGTGTCTTAACCATGGGACCACCAGGGGAGTCCCACATTGATAGTTCTCTTTCAGCACCTTTCTTGAACCCAACTCTGAAGGTTCATGGTGTTATCCCTGAGCCTGGAGTCGTAAGCCCTGAGTTCTCTCTCTGCCTCTTTCTGGGGTCCTTAGACCGCCTTTCTAGGAACAGGGGCTGTCTGAAACAGAGTGGGGCGCCTCTCCCCTGCACTCCCCACTGGAGACGTTCAGAGGAGGCTAATCCCCTATATCTGGGGCAGAGTGTAGGGGCAGGGCCTTTAGTCAGGCCTTGTTACCACCGTGTGACTGCCTTTCCCTGACCTCCACGTCTCCCTCAGTGAGGATGGAGCTGGTCACCCTCACGTCCAAGGGCAGTTATAAGTGGTTGGTGAACCGCAAGTGGAAACATCTGGTCCGGGACCAGGCACCATTCAACTTACTGCAATTGTCCAGGTTCTAAGAGCTTCGATTATAAACTACTCCCCTTCTCTGGGGCCTCAGTTTCCCCATCTGTACAACAAGCAGGTGATGGTACCATGTCCAGTGTCTGGTTGCAGTTCTGAGGTGACTGCCCTGAGTAGTGAGGGTGGGTTCATCAGCAGCACAGCAGACGCCGCGACTAGGGAAATGGAGCCTTCCCCCTTACATCACACTGGGTCCTGCCAGCAGGAAGTGGGCTTCTGTGAGCCCTGCTTCTCTGAAAACTTTCACAGCGGCCAAGCAGGTGAGCGCCTCCCCAAGAGCATTCATGGTGACCTGCCTGCAGAGAGCCTCGATGGGGGATGGTGTGGGCTCCAGCAGTGAGCAGAGTGCCCTTGGGCAGCCGCACCTGCCGGGGGACCTGCACGCCTGCAGGTTGTTGGGGCCCAGGGGGGTGTGCGTGAGCCCTCCGTGCTGATCCGGGAGGTTTTCATCCATTGTTGCCGACTCAGCCTCAGTGCCCTTTGCTGCTCCCTCCCCAGATACCCCAGAAGCCCCAGGCCCGGGGTGCTGCGGGTGCAGCAGCACCTTACAGAAGGGAGGAAGATTCCTCGCTTCACTGAGGCACCCGTGGTCTAGAGTCCACATCCCATATGACAACAAAGCAGACTTGGAGGGGAGGGGGCTCTTGTGCTGGACTTGAGCCTCAGAGATGTGAGGGAAGGGATGTGGAGCCTTGGCCCCCAAGGCTCAGAAGGAATTAGGTGGGCAGAAAGGGACAGGCGTGCACAGGGCGTTTCTGGCAGAGGAGAGGATGAGGATGCAGGCCTGGCTGGGTGGTGGGGGAGGGCTGCAAGATAACAGGTGTTGAGGATCTGAATGCTCAGCGTGCTGTCAGCGTTCTCCATGCTGGCTGCCTGATGGGAATCACCTGGGCCATGTTTAAAAACTACCTGGGCCCTCCCCAAACCAGTAAATCTATTTCAGGGGGTGGGTCTGGGTGTCAGTAGTTTTTAAAAGCTTGGCCAGGCATGGGTATGCCTAGGTGGGGTTAAGCAACGCTGGGCATGTGTGAAGCTCTACACTCCCTCCAGAGTTCAGGTCAGTTCGAGGGGTTTTATCAGCAAGGTAAGGAGTGTCGACTTCAATGCGATGGGAATGAACAGGATCTGGTTTGCATTTTACGAAGAGCTCTGTGGCTGTCGCATGGAAAGCGGATGGAAACCCACAGCGACTTGGGTAGAGTGAGGAGGGAGCCTGGACAGAGGGCTTGTTTCTGATCTCTGATCAATAGTTGAAATCTGGAAATGCCGGCACTGGGGCCTTGGTTGGTTGGTGGGAAGAGGAGGAGAGGCCTGGAGGAAGGGGTTCACCAGAGTCCCAGGAGGCGACTGTGGCTCTACCAGGAAAAGAACCTCTCGACTTCCCTGCTTGTCCTATCCTGCATGAGGCAGATTTGTTAGATTCCATTTTATTTCCCGAGATAACTCTGTGGGTTCTGACTGGTGTGTCTTTAGAAGGAAGGTGGGTTTCTGGATCAGAGGACCCGCCTCTGTCTGTCGGTGCACTGTTCTGGGTGGAGGGCTCCAAACGCAGACTGTCCTGCTCCCGTGGGGTCCTCAGACACCTTCTTGCCCTGCCAAGCTGCCAACATCAGGTCGCCCTGGCTCCTCACTTTTTGGGCCTGGGTTGCCTTCCTCCTGCTCCCCAGCTTGGGCCTCGCGCTTCGCTCCTGGGGCCAGGACAGCAGCAGCCCTGGTTTGCTGGGCTGCTGTTTGGTGTGGGAATGGGGAACTCTGGTGGTGCTTGTGGGTTGTTCCAGCTCCGTCACGCTGGACGAGGTGTTTCACTTTTTAGGACTTTAAAGTAACTGTCTGCAAAGTAGTTTTGTGAGTTTTTGCCTCCCCAAACCCACCTGTGGATTGCACAGGCAAATGAAGTTAAGTACATATGCAAGTAAGTATCCTTGTGATAAGATTCATCAGTGGTTTCAGCTGCAGACAGCCTGATTCCTTTACCATGAAGGTCACCATTAGTGATTAGTTTCACCATTCCTTGATGGTCGTTGCCTGAGCCAGTATTTCATTAGGATTGTGAGATTATGATTTTCTTGATTTTATCATTTCTTCTTTATTAATAAACCAGTTTTTTCTGTAGCAAATAATTTTCACTTGTTTTTTTAGTTATTAGGTTATCCTGAAATACAGTTTATGCCAGAAAGAAAGGATAAATGCTGAGTTCTTTGCCTTTGGTGATCAGTTTGCAGGGAAATGGGTTGGTGTCCTAGCAATGTCCAGTAATGTTTAGTGACTTTGTTCTCCCTATCTCTTCTCTCTCCTCCCTGCTTTCCTTTCTTCCTCTCCATTTTTCTTTCTCTTTCAGTATTTAGTCATAGCTGTTAACAAGCATCATAATTCGATTAGTTGTAGTTAAATTATTCCATCCTTGACAAGCAGAAACCACTTCAGGCTGGTGCTCTTGTCCTTTTAACCCAATTGCTTGACTCTTTGATAATTTCCTTGTTTCTGATAAGATAGGATTTTTGTAGGCTCACTGTATAGTTTCACAGTCCATGCCCTGCAGTTGGCCACTTTTCCAAAGAACTGCTTTGTTTTAGTGGGGAATGGCATTTAGAAACTATAATCTGGGGTTGAGGTGGCGGGGGGTGTTCCTCATTGCTACTGGGTGGTCACTGCTTCCAGGCCTTATCAGTGCACAGAAGTAGGAAATAGGTATATTTTAAAATAAGACAGTTGTAAGGTGGTTGCCAGAAGCGAGGGGAGAGTTTCCACTTGGGAGGATGGATGTAGGTGACGGTTGCACAACATGGTCAGTGTACTTAAGGACCGTACACATGAACATGGTTAAATAAATTCTGCCTTGTGCATATTTTACCAGAGTAAATCTCTTACGGCAACAAAAAGATGGACAGAAATATATGAGCTTTGCATGCGTATTTTTATATCAAACTGATTTTTAAATTGTAAGGCTTTTGGTGAATTTTTGGTTTTATATTGTCTATTTCTGTCTGTATTACTCTTTTGGCCATGCTGTGTGGCATGCGGGATCTTAGTTCTCTGACCAGGGATCAAACCCAGGCCCCCTGCATTGGGAAGCACTGGACCACCAAGGAAGTCCCTATATTTGTGTATTTTTAATTTCATACTTCAAATCTTGGTCAGAACTCCTTCTTTTTTTTTTTTTAATTTTTATTTTTTTTATTTTTTTAACTAGTTGGAGGCTAATTACGTTACATCATTACAGTAGTTTTTGTTATACATTGAAATGAATTAGCCATGGATTTACATGTATTCCCCATCCCGGTCCCCCCTCCCACCTCCCTCTCCACCCGATCCCTCTGGGTCTTCCCAGTGCACCAGGCCCGAGCACTTGTCTCATGCACCCAACCTGGGCTGGTGATCTGTTTCACCCTAGATAATATACATGTTTCAATGCTGTTCTCTTGAAACATCCCACCCTCGCCTTCTCCCAGAGTCCACAAGTCTGTTCTATACATCTGAGTCTCTTTTTCTGTTTTGCATATAGGGTTATCGTTACCATCTTTCTAAATTCCATATATATGTGTTAGTATACTGTAATGGTCTTTATCTTTCTGGCTTACTTCGCTCTGTATAATGGGCTCCAGTTTCATCCATCTCATTAGAACTGATTCAAATGAATTCTTTTTAATGGCTGAGTAATATTCCATGGTGTATATGTACCACAGCTTCCTCATCCATTCGTCTGCTGATGGGCATCTGGGTTGCTTCCATGTCCTGGCTATTATAAACAGTGCTGCGATGAACATTGGGGTGCACGTGTCTCTTTCAGATCTGGTTTCCTTGGTGTGTATGCCCAGAAGTGGGATTGCTGGGTCATATGGCAGTTCTATTTCCAGCTTTTTAAGAAATCTCCACACTGTTTTCCATAGTGGCTGTACTAATTTGCATTCCCACCAACAGTGTAAGAGGGTTCCCTTTTCTCCACACCCTCTCCAGCATTTATTGCTTGTAGACTTTTGGATAGCAGCCATCCTGCCTGGCGTGTAATGGTACCTCATTGTGGTTTTGATTTGCATTTCTCTGATAATGACTGATGTTGAGCATCTTTTCATGTGTTTGTTAACTCCTTCTATAATAATTCTGTGGTGATAATTGTGCCTGCTTCTAGCCTCTGCTCCGTTTTGGGGCCTGTACGTCTGTACTTCAGAGTCTGAATCTTCCCACGGTCTTCTCTTTTGACACAGACTTTACTGCCAGGTCTCACTGGCCCCTCTGGGGAAGCAGTTAAATCCACAGCGAGTGTGACTCCCTCATCCACTGCCGGAAGTGGTGACAGAGTGTATGCCCACCAGATGGTCCGCACAGACTGCCGGGAGCAGAAGCTCGATGCCTTCCTGCAGCCTGTGAGCAAGGCCCTGTCCGGGCAGCCTCAGGCTCTTGTCCCAGAGCACGGGACAGATGCTTCTAGTAGCGGGACCAGGCAGCAGGATGAGGAGATGCTTGAACTCCCAGCTCCTGCTGAAGTGGCTGCCAGGAGTCAGGCCTTAGAGGACGACGCAACAGTGAGGACTGCAGACCTGGCCGAGGAGAGAGGGCCCTCTTCCAGCCCTGAGAACCCCAGGTATGATCTTGGGGGAAAGGCAGCTGGCCGCCTTTGTTCTTTGATGAAACTTCCTTCTAACTTGAACTGTCACAAACTCCTTGCACCTTCTCTCTGCCTGTTCACCGTTTCCCTCCAGTGGGATGGTCCACTGTCTGCCTTTGACCACGGCTTGAGAGTCACCCATCACAATGGGCTTTGAAATACCTTAAATGCCCATGATTCCAAACAATATTTGAAAACACATCAGAAAAAAATCAAATTTATCCTTAATAATGAATTTTAATAAAGCCTCAACAGCAGAGGTGGCTGGGAACAGGGACCTAAAATATCCGGAGGATTCTTCATCCTTCTCCAAGCTGTTGTCACTCCTTTGAGAAGAAGCAGAGTTTCTCAGTTTAAATTGGGAAACTACCTCAAGCGCATGGGCTAGTGGTGGAGAGCTAGAGAGAGGGAGACGGGAACAGCCGAACCAATGACTGTCAATTTAATTTTTTTAATTGGAATATATTTGCTTTATAACTTTGTGTTAGTTTCTGCGGTACAACAATGTGAATCAGCTAATTGTGTACGTGTAACCCCCTCCCTCTTGGTCTCTACCCCCGTCCCACCCACCTGGGTCATGAGAGCGCTGAGCTGAGCTCCTTGTTCTATCTAGCAGCTTCCCACCAGCTATCTAGTTTACTCATGGTAATGTAGTTATGTCAGACCTTCCCTCCTCCTCTTCCTGTGTCCACACATCTGTTCTCTATGTCTGTGTCTCTGTTCTTGCCCTGTAAATAGGTTCATCTGTACTATTTTTCTAGAGTCCACGTATGTGCATTAATATACAATATTTGTTTTCCTCTGACTTCAGTCTGTATGATAGACTCTATGGCCATCCATATCTCTGCAAATGACCCAATTTCATTTCTTTTTATGGCTGAGTAATATTCCCTGTGTATGTACACATACCACATCTTTATCTCTTTCTCTGTTCATGGTCGTTTAGGTTGTTTCTGTGTTTCAGCTATTGTAAGTAGTGCCGCAGTAAACATTGGGGTGCTTGCATCTTTTTGACTTACGGTTTTCTCAGCGTAGTAGGATTGCCGGGTCACATGGTGGTTCTGTGTTTTAAGAAACTTCCATACTGTTGTCCACAGTGGCTGGGCCAGTTTACATTCTCATCAACAGTTGAAGGTTCCCTTTTCTTCACACCCTCGCCAACATTTATTGTTCATAGATTTTTTAGTGATTGCCATTCTGACTGATGTGAGATGATACCTCACTGTAGTTTTGGTGTGCATTTTTCTAATAATTATGTTGAGCATCTTTCATGTGCTGCTTGGCCATCTGTATATTTTCTTTGGTGTTCAGTGTACACTCTGTGGGTGCTTTCAGGACATCTCACTGGAATTTGTAAGGTACGTATTCCTTACTCAGCGTGTGCAGGCAGTGTCCCTGGAGCTCTGGGTGAAGTCCTTTGCCCAAGGGCACGTGTCCACCTGGTGGCTGACCACCAAAACCCGAGCTCTAAATGCCCACTGGAACTTGGGCCTGTTACTTGACTCTGGTTTGCTCATTTCCAAGTCAGTCTAGCAAGACGACTTCTAAGGATTTGTTTCCAGAGAATAATAAAGGGTGCTAACACTTACTGAGCATCCGCCGTGTGCCAGATATTTGCATGCGTTAGCTCAGTTCATGATCTTAACAGCCCTGCCGGAAAGTGTGACATTTCTGTTTATCACTTGGGAAGGTAGGTGACACTACGAGCCATTGACTGTACAGCAAAGAAATCTTTTTAAACCAGGAACCAGAGTGCATCGCTCCTTGCTGAAAACCACTTGGAGTGAAACCAGCCTGGCCGCCCCAGCCCATCACCCTCCTCCCCTTCGTGGTGCTTTGGCCGAACTCATCCCTCAGCCCAGGAACTCTCTGACCTCTTGTCACCCAGGTCTCAACTCAGATGTCACCTCTCACCAGAGACCGTCTTTGTCCATTTAATCTAAAGTTCTTTCCTTTTCCCCTCAGTCTGTTACCTTGTTTTATCTTCGTCACAGCGTCTGTTGCTACTTAAAACGATCTTTCTCCTGTTGCTGTTTGTGCCACTGGACAGCCAGCATGTGGAGGCAGGCGCCTTGTCATGGCTGAGTGAGGTTGGGGTTATGCAACAGTGATGGATGGAGGGGCAGCTGGAGGGTGGAGGGCTGAATGAATGAGACGTGGTGAGATCAGCACGTCTCACACTTGCTCAAGCCCCTGCAGGTCTCTGCGCTGAGCTATGTCCAGTGGCCCCTTGCTTGGGCCCCAGAGGTGTCTGAGAAGCAGTATCTGGGAGAGCAGACTGATCTGACTGGCTCCTTCGTGGGGAGGTCCCCCCCCCCATATGTGCAGATTTGGCACATAGAAGCTACTTCCTTCTCCAAAATGCAAGGCAAAATTTGACTGACTTTATAAACTTTAAAGATAGTATTGACCTGCCAGTTCCTCATCTCCTTTGCAGAAAGAGGCCTCGGGAAGACTCTGATGTGGAAATGGTGGAGGATGCATCCCGAAAGGAGATGACAGCCGCTTGTACCCCCCGGAGAAGGATCATCAACCTCACCAGCGTTCTGAGTCTCCAGGAGGAGATCAACGAGCGGGGCCATGAGAGTACGTAAGTGCCGAGGGCTGCCTGCACCTCCCGCGGCCGGAACTGCTCCGGTGAAGGTTTGGGAAATGCAGGAAGCATGCTTGTCCTGATGGTCTCTGCAGTGCGCTGAGCGAACCTTGCTTTCTTTACTAATCCATAGCGGTGTCAGCTTCAAGGTAATCGACACCTGGGAGAGAAGAGAAAAAGTGAGTCTCTGGTTTCAGCCAGAGCGAATCATACTCTTGTTAAATCAGAGAAGTCAGAGTAAAGTGGTCATTTCAAGCAGTGGTCCCCATCCTTTTTGGCACCAGGGACTGCTTTCATGGAAGACAGTATTTCCATGGACTAGGGGAGTGGGCAAGGGGGGGATTGTTTGAGGGTGATTCAAGTGCGTTACATTTATTGTGCACTTCATTTTTATTGTTATTACTTCAGCTCCACCTCAGATCATCAGGCATTGGGGACCCCTGATTTAAAGAATCTTCAGTTTGTTTCTATCTCAGCTAAAAGCAGTGTGCCCTGCCTGGGGTGTGCTGTGGCTGAGAGTACACAGATTCTGGAGGGCCTGGTGTGTATCCAGGCAGCTACCACGTCTGCTGTCTGACCTTAGCTTTTCTGTGCTTAGTTGTTCCTTATCTGTAAAATGAGGTTAATTTTACCATTGAAGATTACTGGTGCTGATTAGAGATAAAATGGAAGTGAAACACTTGGTACAGAGTAAGAAGTCAATAGCTATTTTTGTATCCTGAAGATAAAATGAAAAATCATTATTATTTTCCTCAAATAGTTTTCAGAACGCCCAAGTATAGAGCTCCATTTGTGTCCCTGTTACTCCGAAATGATGATTATGGTTTTAGGAATGGAAGGAGGGCTCATCACCTCCTGGGATAAATTGATGCAGGGACTGAGGTGTGTGACAGTGACTTGTCCCTGATAGAAGTCCTGACCCCACTCTGGGTCACAGTCATGCTCTGGGTGGGTCCGTCGTTGCTGGGCGGTGTTGCACCTGAGTCTGTGCAGTTGAGCCCTGTCCTTGCCATTTTTCATCTACTGCACATTTTTTATTAAACAAGTTACATTTTATAGCAGTGTTGAAATTTATTTTAAAATAGGACAACCTGGACTAACTTTTAAATTAAATGAATGGCCAAGGAACAATTCAGGGCCTTTTCCACTGATCCTTAGCCTTCTAAACAGCTGTTCTGGCTCAGACACCCCTTCTCTCTTCTCTCGGTTACCACTCGTTGGAATGAACTCAAGAGAGGCCTCAGTTTGCCTTTCCTAGCTAGTTCATCTTCGCACTCTGGGCCTTTGTCTGTCTGCATGTGGGGAAAGGCGTGGGGTCTGCTCCCTCGGGAAGGCTGCACACTTCCTGTGATTAGGGCCTTGCCAGTTGTATGTAGATGGTGCTGCCAACTGGCTTCTGATTTCTGTTTCTATGAAGATTTGTTCCTTTTGCTTCTCTTCCCTCTGTTACTGGCTTTCAAGCTGGGAGCTTTTAAAATCATTTTTAAATAATGAAAGGAAGGTGGGCCATGACTTGATTTATTTAGCAGTCTCCCTCACAGTTGTTTTAATTGACAGACTCCCTCAGATTTGGAATTTACTGAGTTTTCTCTAAGAGTTTGTATTTCTCATGCAGAGCAGGCTATTTAAAAGTTATAATTTCAGTGAATTTCTGAATAGTTGCAAACTATTTTCGGTAAGGTATAAATCTAATCTATACCAAGTTTGGTTAGGTTTGGAGTCCATTGCTAAGGTGATGATGAATCAAAATGTTCTAAAATTGTATGTTCATGCATATTACCTCATTTAATTCTAGAATAGTCTTGTGAGGGAGGCAGAGCAGATGCTGTTATCTCTGTTTTAAAGATAAAGAAATGGAAGGTGGAGAGATTAGTTGGAACATCCCCTCAGTGCTGGCCTGGGTGCCTGCCTCGTGGAGGGAGGGGTTGTTGCTAGCCCAGCCTGCAGCAGGAGGGCTGGTCCAGGTCTTAGATGCAAAACTAGATCAGCTGCTTTAGATCACGTGGTGGGATGAGTAAGCCACGTGATCCCTGATCCCTCAGACTGAGGCTGTTTCCAGATGAGCAGGGCCGGGTTTTCCAGAGGAGTCCTGGTCTTGGTGTGGGGAGTAGGGCTGCCTTTTGGAGCCAGGAGAATACCGTTGAAGCTCCTACCACCTGCAGCATTCTGTAGCCAGCCAGAAATCTGTTCACCTCTGTGGGGCATCTGTTGCCTGCTCTGTGAACAGGTGCTCCTGTTACAGCCCTTACCTGCTGTTGTGATGAACACCTGGGACATCTGTTTATACAGCCCCAAGCAGGGAAGCTGGTTGAGTTAAATGCCTACAGGGATCTCTCTGAAGCTCGGATTTGGGGAAGTAGGCTAGAACCCGGCTGCACTCCCACAGAGCTATGCCCTGGCCCAGGAAAGACGTCAGATGCTTTTGATCTTGGGTGGCCTGGGCCAGCTTGAAGCGAGGCTTGGATTCCCAGCCAGAGATTGAGGTTGGATCACAGCAGTGATGGTGTTAAATCCTAGCCACTAGACCAGTGGTCATTGACAAGGCCCTGGCCCTTTGGCTTTGCAGATAAAGAATTCCCACAGAGAAAGAAAGCAGTGAAACAAGTGAAGTATTTATTAAGAGGAAGAAGTTAAGTACAGGTGGGAAACACAGCTGTACTGACACTGAGGGGACTCAGACTGTCGCTGAGTCTCACCCTTGAGGCAGTTTGAGTTACTGTTAGGGGCATTTTTTCCTGTTTTTCTTTGGCCAGTCATTTTGATCTGCCTGCTTCAGAGCCCGTATTTGGTATATCTCATGTGTGCACACTCATCTGTCAGCCAAGATGGACTCCAGAGAAGAGTATCGTTCCCCTTTTGCCCTCCAAGGAGCTTTCTATTCAGGAAGGTCTCCTTTGAGACTGAGAAAATGTGTGGTCTCTTATCTGGGGAGGGTCCAGCCTCCTCTCTCGATTGTCCTGCTATTGATATTTAGGAGTTTCTGTCCCCAGGGAANTCGATTGTCCTGCTATTGATATTTAGGAGTTTCTGTCCCCAGGGAACGAACTTCAGTTGCTCACCCTGGGTCAGGGGGCACATCTACCACCTGCCTCAAATCCTCCTTGAGAGACATAGACCCCAAGAAATTTTTATCAGGAAGATAGATAAAAGGTAAAACTTCTGTAGCTTCTTCAGCTGGCCAGGGCCTCTTAAGACCCTATGTAATTGGGTTCATGAAGCTTTCTCCCTGTCTCCTTAAAGGGCCCCAGATTGCTCTTTCAGCAGGGTCTGCTGTGGGGAGTGACTGGAGTCCCTCCATCACCACTGTTCTATGATGTCCCAGAGAAAGCAAACTACTTAGAGAAGCACGGACTAAAGACCAGTAAAAGACTGTTATAATCAGACTCAAGCAAGGGTAGGAATCTGGTTATACAAGGTCAGCGTATCTTTGTTAATCTCAGGCTTAAAATTTAGTATCTTTCTCTATTTCTAAAATGAAAGATCTGAAAAAAATAAATGAAAGATCTGAACCCGTTGGTCCCAGGCCTCCTTCTTGGACTGAAAGGTCTTAGTTGCAGATTTGCAACAGTATGGAAAACAATGGTGAAAGTTGCTCAGTCGTGGCTAGCTCTTTGCAACCCCATGGACTATACAGTCCATGGAATTCTCCAGGCTAGAATACTCGGGTGGGTAGCCTTTCTCTTCTCCAGGGCATCTTCCCAACGCGGGGATCGAACCCAGGTCTCCTGCATTGCTGGCGGATTCTTTACCACCAGAGAAGCCCACCAACAGAGCACTGGGCAAAACATGAATCAGGATGGCTGAGAAGAGAAAGTTTGTAGGAAAATGTTGCTAAGGAAAGGGGTAGGAAAGAGACATTAGAATTTTCTTCAGTTGGAAAATGAACAATTCTGACCCTGTACATTACTATTCTGAGTCTAGGGTCCCTGGTGGAAGACCGTTTTCCCTCAGGAACTTGGTTAAAAGTCCTTACGGGATGGACTTAGCTTGGGGTAAGCAAATCCAGCTTTCCATTAACTCAGTGGAAGAAGCATGAATTTGTGCAGTGCAAGCCAGAGAGTTGTCTGTTTATCCTGTGGATAAGGGAAAGGGGTATAGAGAAGCTAAGTCAATTAGTAGCTTCATCATAGCACCAGTCAGGCCATAATTGAATCACCCAGCGTGGGCAGAGAAGTTAAGTAAATTCCAAGAGCAAGAGTGAGAGCAGAGAAGACAGTAGTTATCCAAACCTACCAGAGCACATCAGTTATTCTGTAAATGGATTGGTGTACCAGAAGGCAAAAGGAAGATAGTAGCTTTTACTTAGCCTAGGGTCTAAGACATCTTTCTGTGCTTTTTGAATAAGAGGTTTAGGTCTTGGAGTGGCTTATTCATCTACCTGGAATTTTCAGGCTGTCTTGGGTCCTCTGGGTCCTGTAGAGCCGTGCTTCCCAGCCTTTTTGGCACCAGGGACCAGTTTTGAGGAAGATGGTTTTTCCATGGACCGGGGTTGGGGGGCAGGGGATGGTTCAGGCGGGAATGTGAGCGATGGGGAGCAGCAGGACCTTTCCATTTTGGGAGAGCTAGTCGCCAGGGGTTCATTTTTCTAGGTCTTTAAAAGTACCCAATCTCCAGGGTAACTGGGATTGTCATCTGGAGAGGACTGCACTCTGTTGCCATATTCTTGTCTAGCCTTCTGGACCTGGCCTAGGTTTATAATGTATCTAAGGTGAGCCTGCGTTTCTGAGTCAGTTAGCATGTCCAGAGTAAGGAATGGCCTTCTGTATGTCATTTTGCAAGGGCTTAACTTAGTGGTAGTTTCAGGAGCTGCCCTGACCCTTAGGCAGGCTGTTGGCAGCAGGTGATAACTCGACTCCAACGTTTCCTGACAGTTTGCCCAAGGTTTTGTTTCGAGTACGATTATCCTGTTCCACTTTTCCTAAGGATTGAGGTCTTCAGGACGAATGGAGGTGGCACTTAATTCCCAAAGTCTGCGAAATCTGTTGTGTGATTTTTGCTATAAATGAAGG